CAGGCTGATACTAGCTGGTCCACGATTCCAGCAATTATTAACCCATTGCAAACCTATTCCATAACATACCTTTTTCAATGACTTCTGCGTCGTTACCTAATGTTATAAGTAATTATAAATATTTTTAGTTTTTTATTTTTCTAGTTGAGTTTTGCATTTTCATTGGTTAGTACCAACAACACTTTCAATAAAAGGTATATATGCATGTGAAACTCTTTTTTGTTGAACTACTTGCCTTTAACGTTACTTTACTCTAATTTTACTGGTACATACATATTGTAGTTACTGATGGTCTATTTTTGAAAAAGTACCGTAAAAATTTACATTTTGATTAATATATGGCCAAATAAATTTACATATTCGTAGAATCAAATACTGAATTGTGAAATACTTTTATTACTCATGAGTGGTAATGGTAAACATATATATGTAGATACATATGTACTTTATAACTGTAGTTATCGAATTTACTGGAGTTGCCGTAATGTACACAAATTAAAATTTTCTGTATTTGATGTTGGTTCAAGCAAATTAGGTGAAGTAGCATAAGCGTTTTTTTTTTGCCTGCATAAATAACATTGTTAACCTACTTGATCTTTTCACGTTTTTCTTAGTCTTATTTGACTTTGACAAATTTACTTAATTGCGAAACTAGCAATTTTGTCTTTAGATGTCTGATGCATAATCTGCATACCTATTGTACTCCTAATTTATTTTCTTATTCATGATGGTCAAGTAGAATACCCAACTATTGAATAATTTCTCCCTCATGATCGTCATTTTGTAAATATGAATAAAACCCTCATTACATCATACTTTCGCGTTTCTTTTTGATTAACATTTAATAAAAAATACTTGTCCTATTGGGTTGTACATAAAATGTTTTCAATTTAAATTCATATTTGTAATTTTATAAATAGTAAGTCAGTGACAACAGGACTAATTTAATATTAATAGCAAGGAGGAGTTACAGATAGCTTTAAATAAAATGGAAGCGGTATTGATAACAGTATTGTATGAAAATAAATAAAAGTAAACCAAAAATACTCGTTTGCAAGGGAAGAAACAGTAGGGAAAGAGCGAATATAAAGATCGGAGGCGAAAAATTAGAAAAAGTTGCTGATTTTAGGTATTTAGGAAATCAGACAAGTCACTTCTATGCTTGCGAATGATTAATTCAGAAATTCGAAAAAGATGTTTGGAGCGCGGCGCTGTACGGGTGCGAAACATTGACGGTGGGCGCGGCGGAAAAGAAAAGGTTAGTAGCGTTCGAAATATGATGTTAGTCGAAATAGGTTGGTACGACACCTTCTCAGACATGAAGGTATAGTCAGAGACATATTAGAGGCAGAAACCAAAGTTAGGAATGGTAGAAGTAGACCTAGATTAGATTACTGTTCGCAAATAGTTAAGGATATGGGTTCTTCTAGTTTTAGTGAAATGCGAAGATTAACTGACGATAGGAAAGAGTGGAGGTGCATGTCCAATCAGTCTTAAGGTGATGATGATGATTATGTTATTATTATATTAATGTAATGTAATTGCAAAACTACAGTAGCTAAGGCGAATTAGTTGAGCATCCGCCATGTTTGCCAGGTTTAGCTCCTAGATATTACCGAATCTTTCCAATCCTTGCGTGGTAAACGGTTTTTGTCAGATAAAGTAGTGACATGAGCGAGAAGTCAGTGGTTTTCAGGGACTGAAGAGTGTTCTTTTCCTAGAAGCATTATAAATGCCAGAACATCGATGGTAAAAAAATGTTGAGCTTAGTGGACACTATGTTTGTTATTATAAATAGGTCAAAGACGGAACAAAGGGATCATCCTTTATACGTATTATTGTTTTTGTGCAAATCTATGTATGGTCCAGTACTATTCGAATGTTATGTTTTATTCCATTCCTTTGATAATGAAAAAATTTTATTGCTAATGATGAAATAATTTGCAAACGAATGAACGTATTTTCATAAATAGTACTGCACTAAATAATAAGTATTTGGTACAAGCTTTAAAAAAGTTTATTTCTTGAAATTTGAATAGTAGTTTTATACGAGCAATAGCACATGATGAATCTGCAGGTATAGATGTTACGCAACTCACTTTTGCGTCACAAATTACCTTTAATTTCTCTGTATTTAAAAAGCACCTCAGGTAAATTAATGAATCTTCAATATTTTACCTTCTTCATAATTTTTTCCTTTAACGACTGCCTTTAATTACAACTTACATATGTAAATATACGTACAGCAAAATAGTTTTTGTGAATACAGTGTTAATTAAAGAATTTCCAACGTGTTGCTAAATATTACACTAGCTTGACATTGTCAGTGAATAATTTTTTATTTCGTTACAAAATCGACGCTTACCTTTATGTTATAGTTATTGTAGTCTCTCTTGTTTTTTAATATACAGGATGCCAAGCTTGCAGGAGGTGATAGAGCACTATAAATTATAAATTAAGAGTTTGTATATTCGCAAGTTTCGAGAAAAACGCAATTGAAAGTACATCCGGCCCTGGTTCATAAATACGACCGCAACGCTGTACTCAATCAGCTGGTGACTACTAGTATCAGTGTAGTATTTGTTTTGCATTTTTTTGCTCATGTATTGTTTAATTGTTAGATTAGAAAAAGTGTGATTCAGGGCGTTTATTCTTTTAATGTTTAATTCTTGTGCTGTTTAATAACCTAATTCAACAATACAACATTAATTACTACTGTAAGCCAGTACGTATTTACGGGATTGAAATATATCGCTGCTGTAGGGACGAACTCCTCGATTTCAAAGAAGACAATCCCCCAAAGTATTACATGCGAAATAGCAGAGAACGTTCGTTCCTCTCAGTGTGACAATTTTGAAAGGAACAGTTGCTGCATCCTTATCATTTGCAGCGAGTGCAAGCCTTGCTTCAATCCGATTTTCAGTCGCTAGTGGATTTGTGTCGGTAGTTTCGAAAGAAAAATACTGCATAGTCTACTTGGTGTTCACAGACTTTTCTTCACGCGGGATGGAATTTTAAATAATAATAATAATCAGTATTGGTGCTCTTTTGTGTTTGCATTTGCATACGTTTGTTTATTGCAGTTTCCATCCTCCATAACTCGCCACTTACTTCTGTTACACTCTGTATAGGTACTTAGTAGTAAGAGCAGGGGGCCTCTTCTACTGTTCACTCAAACGAGATTCGTATACGAATAGAAATTACTATTAAAATTGCGAAGACACTTGACACATAATTTATCGTTAATTATAAAAACCAATTAGAATTCTCTTTTGTTTCAGGAGAGGGATGTATCGAGAAGCCCTTAACTACTCTTTGGAGAAACTACACCCAGTCATCTAGACCTGACGTTCAAATGCAACTAAGTGTCAGTGGCGGTGGCCTGAAGGCAACAACGAAAGATCATGGTCTAACGGAATATTGGGCAAACCGTTTGACATTTTGTTCTGCCCCATCACACTTTCCCCGAATCTTCTGTTGGGTTTACAGACACGAAGGCAGAAAATTAAGGCACGAACTTCGTTGTCATGCAGTTCTTTGTTCCAGTGCTACTGCAGCTAAACAAATTGAAGAGCAATTGAAAGCATCGCTAGCTCTTGCCTTGGCTGAGTTCAAGAAAGACAAAATCTTTCGTCAGAATGCTCGATTATCTCTTCTTAATGCTCTGTATGAATATCCAACAATACCCAGGCGAAAAATCTTATTAAGTTCCGGCTCATATAACTATAAACCTCCACTGGAACGTTCAAAATCAGCTCCTAAACTTACAATAATCGAGGAAAACGCCGAAGAACAAGATGAGGTAGGTGACTATAGGCGTAGGAACTTGTTCCAGTCTTTCAGTGTGCCCTCTCCTCGAAATTCCATCCAAGAAGAAAATTTATTTACTCAGGATGCTAGTCAAGAACAACAGATCTGTGATGTGAATCTTAAAAATTCTCTTACAAATACTCAAGTGGAAAATGCAAAAGATCAGTTAGAAGAATTAGAAAAGAATATTTTAGTGTTAGGAAACTTACTGCATGATAGCTTAACTAAAGAACTGATGGAATCCTGCGAGGAAAAGTGCGAGAGGACGTGGTTTACGAATTTCAACGAAACCGATATTTTACCCGTCGATAGTGATGAGGGTTCGTTGTCAAGCGGCTGTGAAACCAGTAGTACGGTCACTTCCGAAGCTGAACCAGCGCATTTCAGCACGATCATCGAAGTGGAAGAGGATAAGATCGTCTATTCGGAGGACGATTACAATAAAAATTGCATCAAGACTGAACTGGACTTTAAAGTAGGTGGAAGTGTGTCGAATTGTGTGCGCAGTTTCGATCAACTTACGGACACAAATATCCGGAAATATTGCTGGATGAACAGTGTAAATAATAATGGTGTTGGAAGTGGTGGTATTCTGAATAACGACCAAGTGTCCCTTATACCACTCGGCGAATGTCACGCTGACTTTAGTTCGTTAAAAGTGTTCAAACGGAGACATTCCGATAATGCCATTTCGGAAAACGGACTTTACGAAATAAGGATAAACGGTGACGATAAAGAAGACGATAAAACTTGTGATTATAATGACGAGGGTTACGATGAGGCATTAGATAGTCCTAACTCTGTTACAAATGTGGTTTTAATTTAAAGAGCGCGAAATGTATTCACATGTATATATGTTATATAAATGCTGTCCATATTATATATGTACCACAAAAGTATTTTACCGAACAATTTATTTTCAGTGAAAGTACAAAACTATAATATTTT